TTTCTCCTCCACGGATGCTGCCAGACCTGCTGAGCTTTTCCAGCAACTTTGTTTTTGTTCCTAATTTACAGCATCCGCGGTTCTTTTGGTTTTTACATGTTAATGATGACTGACAATTAGCTGCCAGGCTTTGTTTAAATTTTGAACCAGGCAGGTTGACTGATTGGGCAAGGCATTGCCCTGAGAAATGAACTGGCAAATAGCTATTACTTATTTTAAGTTGCTTTTTTTTTGTTTTGCTTTGCTTTGCTTTGTTTTGTTAAGTTGAACCAAGCTTGTTGCAAAAGAACTGGGCCCTGTTTATTAATAGGCTCTGTTTACTGACACCAACATATTTGTGTGCATAGTTCGGGGAATATACCCAGAGTTAGGGGAGAGATTGGATTGGGAGTAATAGGGGGAGGTGGGGATGAGACATCAGGACTGGCGGGAGGGGAACTGTGGGGACATGAGGAACGCCTGGGAAGTGGAGGGGTGGAGTGAACTGAGGGGGTGGTGTGATAAAGGTTGTTGGGGGTGAAGAAAGAACCTGGTCGGGAATGTGGGTGTGACAAGGATAGTCCAGGAGCTGGGTGAATGAGGACATGAGATGGGTGGGAGAGGGCCTGTGGGCCCTTAGGTTCTCTTCCTCTTCCCTTCTCACTCTGGGAATTCCCCACCAAACCGCATCGTATGTTCGGCATCCCCTTCCCCACCACCGAAGCTCACCTCCAAATCACACGTGCTTCCCTGCGCACACACATAGTAATACATTAGTGTATAACATCACACGTAGTCTATGTGATGATGTCAGTGCTTGGACCCATGAATTGTCCAATGAGCACGCGCACATGGTTGCCCACAGTTGTTGGTGTCAGCAAACACTGCCTTATTAACATACACACACCATTATCAGACGCCATTTCCGCCACCTCCAGCAAGATTCCACCTCTAGACACTTATTCCCCTCCCCTCTGTTGCCTGCCTTGCGCAGGGACCATTCCTTCTGTGACACCCTGGTCCACACTTCCTTCACCCCCAACACCTCCCCATAGCCTTACGGCACCTTCCCCTGTAATTGGCGAAGGTGCAACACCTGCCCACTTACCTCCTCCCTCCCCAGTATCCAAGGGTCCAAACATATCTTCCAAGTGAAGCAACACTTCACCTGCATTTCCCAGAATCTAGTCTGCTGCATTCGCTGCTCACAATGTGGTCTCCTCTACGTTGGGGAAACGAAGCGTAGACTTGGTGACTGCTTCGCAGAACATCTACGTTCTGCTCGCAGAAAAGACCCTGAACTACCTGTTGCTTGCCACTTCAATGCACCACCCTGCTCCCTGGCCAACATCTCAGTCTCTGGCTTGCTGCAGTGTTCCAGTGAAGCCCAATGCAAACTGGAGGAACAACACCTCATTTTCCGCTTGGGGACCCTACAGCCCTCCGGAATCAATGTTGAGTTCAATAATTTTAGGGCCTAAACTCTCCCATGTCCCAGCCCCCTACCCCACACACAAGGCCTTGTTATCACATAGCCTGCCATTACATACCCCCTGTTGTTAGTCACTAACAGTCCCCATTAACAACTATTCACCCTCCCAGACTGATTGTTAGCAACTCCTTTGTCTGTCCAACTGTCTTTCCCTCTCTTTGGGCCCTATCCTATTGTTTACTCCCTATCCCACCCAACTTCCTATTTTCTGCAAATAAACTGACGTTTTCCCAGCCACCATCAGTTCTGAGGAAGGGTTACCGGACCCGAAACGTTAACTCTGTTTTTTCCTTCACAGATGCTGCCAGACCTGCTGAGCTTTGTTTTTGTCATGCCTTATTAATATATGATTGGAGAATATGCAAGTGCACCACATGTGAGCCGACTGATCGTCCTAAATTGGTTGTCAGTGCTATTCTTTGTGTGCTCATCCTTCAACAAAATGTGTAGTTTTTCAGCTATAGTTCGAGGATGAGAATTTTAAAATGGAGATTTGCTAAACTGAAACAGTTTAGGTTAATGAGCACAAAGTGAAGACTGAATGGGATTTGGTGAGAGTGTAGACACAAATAGCTGCATTTTAGATGACCTTAGGCTTACAGAGAGTATAACTTGAGAGACCAGCTCGGAGTTTGTTGAATTAGTCAGGTTTTAATGTAGCAAAAGTATGGATGATGGTTTCAGCAGTAGATCAACTGAGGCGCTGGAGTCCATGATAGTATTAGGTGGGCATAGGCAATCTTAATGATAAGCAATAGGAAACTTGATCAGTGGTTAGAGATCAGTTCTGCAGAGAACATTCAGGTTCAAATCCTGCCATGGCAGATGCTAGGGTTTGAATTTTTCAGTATAGAGGTTGGGACATCATTTTGAGTTTGTACAGGATGTTGGTGAGGCCTCTTCTGGATTACTGGGTACAGTTCTGGTCACCCTGCTATAGGAAGGATGTTACTAAATTGGAGAGGGTTCAGAAAAAAGGGTTTGGGATGTTGCTGGGAATGAAGGGTTTGAGGAGTTATAAAGATAGGCTGGGACTTCTTTCACTGGAGCACAGGAGATTGAGGGGTGACCTTATAGAGGTTTCTAAAATCATGAGGGGCATTGATAAGGTGAATAAAAAGTGTCTTATCCATTGGGTGGGTGAGTTCAAAACTAGGGGGCATATTAAAGTGAGAGAGAAAGATACAAGAAGGACATGAGGGGCAATTTTTTTTACACAGTGGTTCATATGTAGAATGAACGGCCAAAGGAAGCGGTGGATGCAGGTGCAGTTACAACATTTAAAAGATATTTGGATAAGTACGTGAATGGGAAAGGTTTGGAGGGATATGGGCCAAGTGCAGGCAAGTGGGGCTGGTTTGGTTTGGGAAAATGGCTGATGAGAACTAGCTGGTTCGAAGGGTCTGTTTCCATGCTGTATGACTCCATGACTCTAAATCTGGAATCAACAGATGACCTTGAAACCATTGCTGAATGTCTTTTAAAAATCCATCTGGCTCACTAATGTCCTTTAGAGAAGGAAACTCTCATCCTTACCTGGTCTGGCCTCCATGTGACTCCAAACCCACTGCAATGTGGTTGACTCGCTGACAGTTAGGGATGGGCAATAAATGCTGGCTTGGCCAGCAATGCCCACATCCTATGAATGAATTTTAAACAAAGTTTGCTGTTGTTTTTAATATTTAGTTGGAAGAAATATCTGAACTTGCAATGAATGTTGGAGAAGCATTCTGGCAATTTAGAGTCAGTGGAGGGGTTGAGAGAGCTGAAGATGAAATAGAGGTGGGTGTGTCAGCCTACTTGTGGAAATGTTGTTTTTCATTTATCATAAAAATAACATTGTTATTGCCACTGTTTCATAGTCCCACATGGCAATTTGTGCCTGCAGTTATCCAGATGTGTTAACCTTGTAATGTGTACATAATACACTGCAAATCTTGGCTTTATTAAAACCCAACATATAAAAGTAGTGAAATTGTGAGAAACCATAACAAAAGACAGGTTATTCCTCAGATTATTGTTTAATTCTAGGCATCATACCATAGGAAGGGTGGTAAGCCTTGTAAAAATGAAGCCTTGATATGTAACTTCAGTTATTGTGAAGAGACTGGCATGATGTTCTCCTCAGGAAAGAAGGCTAAGAGAAGATTTGATAGAGGTGTCCAAAATATGAATGATTTTGATAAAGCAAGCAAGGAAAAACTGCTTTGAGTAAAGAGAGAATCGGCAATCAGATGACACTGATTCAAGGTAATTGGTAAAAGAGAACTGTTTTTACCTTGAGTTCTTATTTGGAATGTGCTGCATGAAGGCATGGTGGAAGCAGATTACATAACTTTCAAAAGGGAATTCTATAAGCATCTAAAAGTTTTTAAAAAATATATAGGTTTGAGAAAGAGCAGGGGCCACGGGATTAATTGGATATGTACCAAAGAGCCAGCACAGATGTGATGGGATAAACGGGTCCCAGTTCCCTTTGCAACAATACTGGGAGTAGACACACAACATAGACTGTGGTTCAAGAATATGGCTCACCACCTTCACAAGGGCAATTCAGGATGAGGAAATGCTAGCCAGTAAGATTTTTATCTTCCATCACTTGAAAAATGAAGAAAAATGGCTAGGCTGTAGGCTCCAAGATTCATAGACTCATACAGCGTGGAAACAGACCCTTCGGTCCAATCATTCCACGCCGACCATGTTCCAAAACTAAAACTAGTCCCACTTGCCCGCATTTGGCCCATATCCCTCCAAACCTTTCCTATTCACGAACTTACCCAAATGTCTTTTAAATGTTGTAACTGTACCTGCATCCAACACTTCCTCTGGCAGTTCATTCCACACACGAACCAATCTCTGTGTAAAAGAGAAAAGTCGCCCCTCATGTCGTTTTTAAATCTTTCTCCTCTCATCCCCCCCATCCTAGGGAAAAGACCCTTGCCGTTCATTTTATCTATGCCCCTCATGATTTTAAAAATCTCAATAAGGTCAATCTGGATGGGTACATGAATAGGAAGGGTTTGGAGGAATATGGGCCAAATGCTGGAAAATGGGACTAGATTAATTTAGGATATCTGGCTGGCATGGATGAGTTGGACCAAAGGGTCTGTTTCCGTGCTGTACATCTCTATGACACCCCTCAACCTCCTGCACTCCAGTGGAAAAAGTCCCAGGCTTTCCAATCTATTTTTTTAAAATTTCAAACCCTTCATTCCTGGCAACAGCCTGGTAAATCTTGTCTGAACTCTCTCTAGTTTAATAATATCCTTCCTATAACAGGGTGACCAGAACAATACACAGTACTCCAGAACAGGCCTCACCAACATCCAGTACAACATCAATATGACCTCCCAAATCTGTAACTGAATGGTCTGAGTAATGAAGGCAAGTGTGCTAAATGCCTTCTTAACCACCCTATCTACCTGTGACACCGTCAGAAGTCACACAACACCAGGTAATAGTCCAACAGGTTTACTTAAAACGAAAAGCTTTCGGAACACTGCTCCTTTGTCAGGTGAAGTGGAAGGAAGCGTACGTGTGCTTCCTGACGAAAGAGCAGCGCTTCGAAAGTTTTTGATGTTAAATAAACCTGTTGGGCTATAACCTCATGTTGTATGACTTCTGACTTTGTCCACCCCAGTCCTACATGGCCATCTCCACAATATACCTGTGACACAAATTTCAAAGAATTATGAACTTGAGCCCTCGGATCTCTCTGTTCTACAATTCTACCCAGGGACCTACCATTAACTGTGTAAGTCCTGTCCTTGTTTGTATTACCAAAATGCAATACTTCACATTTATCCAAATTAAACTCCATCTGCCACTCCTCAGCCTCTTGTAATCTTAGACAACCTTCTTTACTGTCCACTATACCAATTTTGGTGTGATCTGCAAACTTACTAACCATGCCTCCTATACTCTCATCCAAATCATTTATATAAATGACAGACAAAAGTAGACCCATATCAATCCTGTGAAATTTCTCTGGTCTCAGGCCTCCAGTGCAATAAAAACAACCCTCCACCACCATCCCCATTTCCTATGTTAAAGCCAATTTTGTATCCAATTGGCAAGCTCAACCTGAATCCCATGTGATCTAACTTTTCTAAATTAGTCTACCATCCAGAACCTTGTCAAAGGCTTTACTAAAGTTCAAGTAAACAATATATACTCTGCCCTTATCAATCTTTTTGGTTACTTTACGAAAGAAAAGCCTGAAGTGATTATATGACAAATAAGAGGATTTTACAAGATTGATAAGGATGCTACTTGTGCAATG